GGAATTCCAGCTGATGCTGATGATGCCACAACAGTTTGCGCACAGCATCTTGGTTCCCGCACTTTGGCCCGGGTCCGTCTTAATTAACGAGGACCGTGTAAAGGAACAAGGGGCCCGGAAACCAAGAACCAAGAAGCAAGATTCCCAGACAACTTTTGGAGCGAGCCTTGGTTCCTGGACCTGTCTTCAACAGGGCCCAAGCCTGGGAACCAAGATTGGCCCAAAAAAGATTTTTGGGAATCTTGGTTCTTGGTTCCCGGACCCCGTGTTAATTAACACGGGCCCACGCCTGGGAACCAAGATTGGCTCAAAAAGTTTTCTGGGATTCCCGGGCCCCGTGCTAATTAACACGGCCCGTGTTAATTAACACGGGCACGGACCCTCGTGCGGGAACACAGTAGTCTTTGAGTGTGCTTGCGACAGCAGCAATACAAGCAACAATGACGAGAAGGGGGTTTACAGTAGACAGATACAGGCACACAGAGACAGCAACAGCGACAATAGCAGTACTGCTCTTAAACCCTGAAGTATCCGAGCCCTTCGCCCTTCCTTAACGGGCTAAAAAAACACCGAAACGGTAGATAACTGAGGGGGGGTACCACATCATTATATACCACAATATTCTACAGTGTACGCTTATAGGGTGATACTAGCAATGCTAGCCGCTGGCAGCCTGAGGTCGTTTTTGCAGTGGCTGCGCTGTTTGGTCAGGAGCGCTTTTGCTTCATGTCGGGTTCCAGCACTCATTGGCTTTTTTCGCGTGTGCCGTGGCATGCGTGCCTTTGGCGTAGGAAGTGCTCTTTGGAATGTTTGCAGGCGGTGTCGGCAAGCTGTGTCGGGTTTTCTTATATTTCAGTTTGTTGGTTTTAGGGATTGGTTGTTTCAGACTTGTTTGTTCCGCGAAAATCCAAGTACCATAACTATCAACCGCCGGAAAATCCGAAACTGCAGCGTCGAATGACTTCGACTGTTTGTTTGCATAGCCTGCTGAAGCAGCTTGTTGTGTGTTTTCCAGCTCTTCAGAGACCCGTCGTCGTGAATCCTTGTCTGCCGACAAAACCCCAGGCCCTATCGACCCTAAACCAAAGCAATGCGTAGGCCGATACGCTCCCAAGAAAGGAACAAATACCTACGTGCGCACACATCTACCCACATGCAGACAGCTAGTTTGGGGGAGCGTTCCGGACATATCTGTGCTATTTAGGCTCGCTTGCATGTACGGGAATCCTGTTGGCCGGGAGTTTCAGAGGAGTCCGACTTGGGACGCAATCTTGGGATCTGGTCTCATGCCGATGGACAGCGGCGAGCAGTCCAGACAATCCTGGACAATCTGAACCGACGCTTTGCTCAGTTCACAGTCTCTGTGGCTCTATGAGTTATCAGCCAGGTTTTGGCGGGGTTGGTAGGGTAGTTTTGGCTAGGGCCAGAGCGGGCCACGAGCAGTAGAAGCTCACAATTCAAGAGGGGGCCTAAACCAATTTTTGGCAAATAATCTGAACACTGACATGGCAACCGCTCGATGTTGAAGTTGTTTCGGCAGTTTCCTTCCCCTGATTCAAGCCATATCTCCCAGCATCTAGGGCCATCGGGCACATGTGCCCTCATCAGCTTGCAACACCTAACCTTTGCGAATTTCTTGTTATAGATTACATAGGCACGCACACGTACACATTGGGCATAATCTATAATATATACAATTATGAATGAGCAAGGAACCCCGAAGCTCCAAAACTTACACTCGATCCCCAGCGAGTGGCTCGAAACCTCTCTCAAACTTACTCGCAGCCTCAACAACGGACCGCCCTGGGCCCGAAAACCGTGAAGCCATGGGCGCCTTCGCTTCGTCGCCCATCGATGCCGTTCGTGTGGAACGCCGCACCTCACAAGGCCGTGTGGGCTAAAGATTTTTGCTCCTTTGTTCAAACTCTGTGAAAAGGCGGTGATTGGAGATTCAGTGCACGTAGTTTCGCAACCTCGGTTGCGTCGCCGTTGTGGCAGTGACATCTCGCCAGCCGCTCCACCTGTCAAAATGTCGGATCCGATGCAGTCTGAAACAGTTTCGGCATTCAGACCCCTTACCCTGAAACTTCTCCGTCCTGATGTCAGGGTCCTGTAAATGGCGCGCTGCGGTGGCCGAAATGCAGGGCTGGCGCATCACTCACGAGGACGTGCAAAGACGAGCACATGTGCTACGAAAGCCAGGGGCTCTTCACGTGAAGCAGTGATTCGCCAGAGGTCATGCAGTACGAAGCTGTAAATGCCTACGACGAAGTACAGTGCACAAGCATGCCACTTGCTTTCCAGGACGCGCACTTCCTGGAGACGGGCCACGAAGGCACCACCGGGGCCGTTTGTTTCCACTCATGGACTAGCTGTGTGTAGTCGGGCTCTGAGGCTACTGTCGTCGGGTGCAGCGGGCTTGCCACAAGAAGAATTGTTTGTTCCGTTCGTGAAATATATTATATCCTTCCTTGGAAGACGCATCCTCCCCATGAGTCCGAGAACCATACCACAAAAAGCGGAGCAAGCTTCAGCTGCTCAGGCTCGCGCGCCTTCTTTGGGGTTCTGGATGGCCATGGCGGGAAGAAGGCCGCTTGGAGACTCTTGTGCTGCCCAAGTGTCCTGCGCATCACCGGATGTCATGCCTGTGGCGTATACTGGTACATCATTGTATGTATGTGTGTGTATATATATATAAACATCCCTATGCTTGGCATTGCATAGCCTTAGGCCACAAGCCTTCAGCCAAAAAAGGCCCTAAACCGACGCAAACCTGTCGTACTGGTACACGATACTCGTAGCAGGAACAGACAGACCGCTTAAAGGACAACTGCTTAAGATGCGAGGAAGAAGCACGTTTGCCTTAAGAAACGATGTTGCAAACATGGTTGCTACTCGCACGCAGTTCAGGGTACACTGTACAGAAGCTGCCGCGGGGATATTCCCACAAGCTTCATTCAAGTTTGCCATGATTACAACGAGGTCATGCTGTGCGCAATGTTTGGACGTCCCGCTGCAAGTCCTTGGCTGAAAGTTCTTCCTGGCTTCTTTTCCGAGTCATGTGCCTGTTTTGAAAAAGTCTCCTGCAACCATGCCAGAGCCTCGCATCCCTCAGAAGAGAGAGGTTGCTCAAGATGCCGATTCACCGGAAGGCATCAGCATTCAGATGCCGGGCCTCCTTGAGGAGCAGTTTGTGCTGCTGCGGGAGGGCCTTGAAGCAGACGTTACGAGCATCTTGGTCCGCCTGGCGGCCATTGAGGAGGCTCTTGGGCTTCCCAAGGCAAGCCAGGCAGAGGTTCCTGAGACCAAGCCGTCTTCCCTACAGGTGACGACGGGAGCAGGGCTGAGTGTTAGCCCCACTGATCAAGAGCCCGGGGATCTGACCGAAGTCTGCTTCGAGGCTAGCACGTGGAGCGTTCCACTGCTGATTGGATTGGTTGATGCGGGCTGGTTCGACCATGCCTTTTCGATCATACTAGTTTTGCTGAACCTGTTTATGCAGGTTGCTTTCACCTGGGTTCTTCTCTCGGAAGGGTTCATGGGCGACAGCCTGGAGAAGGAGATTGACAGCGCCAAGATCTGGCGTACAAGTGTAGCGCACGATGCCAAGTATCTGGACTTATCATCCACCAGCTTGGTGTCCAGAGTTTGCAATGGTGACTCAGCACTCATTCTGTCCACAACCCAAGCGATACTCGTCAATCACATTAACAGCTTCCTCGGCCTGGAAAAAACGCAGATTGAGTATCCCTTCTGGCAGCCGGGTATGCTTCTATGTCTCCTTTGCATTGTCTTTTGGAGCTTGTGCATCTACCAGGCACAGGGCTCAACCAAGGATTCTGGGTGCGGGGGTTGACAGTAGGCTGCCACAGCGATGCGATGTGGTCACTGCACAACCATGAGATATATACATATATATGTATGCATATGCTATATACACACATATATATATAGAGAGAGAGAGAGAGACAAGTATGATCAAGCCTAGTCCCACGGGCTCCGGATTATATTTCAACTACGTATGACACTCAGCTATTCTGGTCATTACAGTAGGGCACCTATGTTCGTTGTCTGCATCCACGCTCGCAGGAGTTTCGCAAGATTTGGCAGCAGCTAGAGGCGACGATTGAGATTCCCAAGTCACATCTGTCCGTGTTCCGCAACAACTCCTTTCAGAGCTTATCTTGGTCGCGCTTTTTTGTGTTGCTCATCATTTACTTGGTTCGTGCCGTGATCGCGTCTCTCTTGATGGGGGCAGGAATTCTTTGGCTGGCTCGAACCACAAGCATCGAGGAGCTGATGCTGAACGCAGTGGCCCTCAATGCCGTTCTAGACGTTGACGAATTCCTATTCGAGGGCATGGCCCCCATCAAGATCCGTCAGAGGATACATCGACTTGAGCCGGTACAAGTCAGCTACAGCCGATGCCGAAGCCAGCTCGAATCCCTAGTGCACTTCGGCTCGCTGGTTGCTCTTGTTCTTGTGGTCTATTTCTCTTTGCTGGTTCCTTTGGGTGATACGATGCTGAAGGTGAAGAACGAGCTGTGTGGTGGAACGCAGACATTCGTTGTCCGCTACAATGATGACACCCAGATATCATACGGTTTCTAGCCAGTTCTTGTACGTGAAATCCACTGGTTTAGCATGGTATCTTCGTATGTTCATATGAGGGAATAGAAGATCATGTTCTTGCAGGGCCTGCAACGACAGCCTAGGTCTATCTACGACGACATCCCGCGACTATGGCAGCCTTTCGCCCGTTGAGCTTGCTGTTTTCTCTCACAAGGCCAACTCACCGGAGAGCATGCCGGATGCGTCCGGTTCCACCTACATCCTGTTTTCTGCGAACAAGGCAATTTTCGAAGAAGAAAGCACTCGTAACATGGCGGAGCAAGCCTCAAATGCCCAGTTCTGTGTTGAGGTGCATGCGCTGAACCAAGGAGGTATGTTCAGCGCGGACATAGAGACACAACTCTTGGCCAGACGGTTTCTGAATAATGCAGCTACAAGTGTAGGACGGTCTGGTGCTTCAAGCTGCGGCGAGCTGAGCGATCTCTGTGACTTGGCCGAGTCTCGCCTGCTGCGCTGGGTGTGTGCTGACACTTGCGGGTGCCTGGATCCGTATAGCTCCCCTTGGTACAAAGTTGCGGCGCAGGGCTGCTCACCCACGTGTGTTGCTTTGGGCCAGCAGCGGCTGCAGAACAGCAGCTGTCAGGATGTGCCTGCGGAGCACCACAGCTGGCGATCCTTTTGGCTTAACTATGGGCCAGCGATATCTGCCTTCTTGGGCCAAGATATACAGAGCTTTCAAGCATTTGCCAGGGCGAACCAAAGCATCCAGGCAATGTTGTCCGGAGGTTGTCCTATGTTGTTGCAATTTCCCGCCGACGGCTTCCTTGGTGCCACGTACTGTGATGGCCACCCAGGCCTGTTTCGACCACTGGCATCACTTTGCCCACAGACTTGTCGCTGTTCTGCATTGCCGTTCGAGAGCACATGTCCCCCAAGCTGCCGAGCGTCCAACCAATCTTCGTAAGTTACTGGGAAATGCGGCAGACAACCAGGCCCGCAAGATCCCGCAAGCCCACGCTCCTCCTCATTGGCATGAGGCTGCATTGCATGCCTCGGACTGCAACCTGTAAGGCAGACTTGTCGAAGCACAACGTCTCAGTCCGTCTCAGTCAAGACGTCGACGCCGCGCTTCCTTCGCATGTCGGATTGCTGTGTAGCTCTTGGGATGCAAATAGCTCAGCAATCTCACAGGTTCTCACGAGAACCTATCCATCCGAATGAAAGGGTGAAAGAGAGACGGCATGAATATTTACCAGGCAAGCAGTCTGAAGGATTCTTCTGTCCCTGGCTACCACCAAAGTACCATAATCCTGGGTTTTGACGGCATGGAATGAATCTGACTCAGTATAGCTACCCGACAACCCGAGTGGACCTGGAGTAATTTGAGTAGTAGCATTCAAAGCATCGTCATTCCTATCGCAGGTAGTATTATCGGCATCTGTAACATTGATATAGCTGTACACCTTGCTGCAAAACGTGCGGTTATGTTGTTGTTTTATTAGAGCATTGACTATGCTTGTTGTACTTGTGCCTGTGACTGGTGATTGTAACCTGTGGTCATTGTCATTTTCGTCCGTATCACTGTTGGGCCTAGAACGCGACAGCTGCTAATTTTAGCTGCCCGCTACATGTGTCCACTACTACTACTACTACTACTACTACTACTACTACTAGTACTACTACTACTACTACTACTACTACTACTACTGCTATTGCTACTGCTACTACCACTACGACGACAACGACCACGACTACTACCTCTACTAGCCCAAGAGCTCCAAAGTTCTGATATATATATATATATAACATACAATAAAGCATCATGCAATACAATGTCGTGTCAGATAGCACAATACAGCATAACTTCGTGTCATATAGTGATATATAAAAGAACTTGAAACATTATATTTAATAAAGAACATATAGTACAGAACAGAACGAATAATACCTAGAACACAGAGTATGGAGTAGAACATAGGTATAACATAATGCAGTATCATTCGTCTACTAGCATATGAAAATATAGTAGAATAGAACAGAACAGAGTACAACATTGCATTATACAAGATACTCTTGTGCAACATAACAGAATGAGTATAATGTGTCCCGAAATGCTGAAATTATACCTTCGCTTCCCAGGCAGCCTTTGCCGCGGCCTCGCAGCTGCCATCACGGCTGCGCCAAGCGGTCGACGGCGATGGAGGCTGCCGCTTATGAGATGGGACTTCTTAACGGGGGGTTTGGGGTGAGTAGGAGATGTCAGAAGTTGCGTCAGTGGCAACATTTCACTGCCCATACAGCCGCTGAACAGCCCCAGATTCGTCATTGCTTTGCACTGCAGCGGCCGTCAGCACAGGATCTATGACCACATGTCGTAGAGTTGGTGCAACATTCGGCCAAGGCCCCGCAAGTGCAAAATGATTGCCTAAACCCTTTGCCTCCCCCTTAGTCCGGTGAGTCACATCGTCTTGCAGACTCAGAGACGTTTTGCGAGAGTATGAGTGCACGTATATATATATATATATATATGTATATATATATATATACATGTGTGTGTGTATAATATACATACACATATTCGGTTGCTCGGAGTGTCCTAAATACTCTGCAAGCCCCGCAAGAAAGCATCCAGCAGTTGCTTGGCAGGTCAAGACAAACTGAAAGAGCGTGTGAGCAGTCTCTTGGCTTTGACAAGGAGAGAGAAGATGTGGGAGCTTCTTACTTCCGAGGGTTAACTAATCAATAACAAGTGCACACATGTCGATGTAGTATATATGTATATATACGAATGGACAACGAGCACATACAAAGATATATACGTATGCATATATGAACAGATGTGCGTATATACATATATAAATATATATACAATATATATATATATATGTAGATAGACTGTATACGTATGTATTAAGGACTGCAAGCGTCCTTTACCGTTACTTCAGCTCTAACCACGTAACACTGAATGTAGGGGTCCTTGCCATGATCATCCTACTGGCACGGTGTTTGTAATTCTGTACCAGCCCCCATTTTCTGAAGCTCTCAATTGGTTGTTTCTTGACCGTTCTCGTTCGCCCAGAGGCCTGCACCCTCAACTCGAACCTACCACGCATAACTTCTTGATGATGGCCATGATGATGATGATGAGGATGATGATGATGATGCTTTCTGACAGCTCGAAACCGGCTTATGAATGCCCAGAGCCCTTTAGACATGTCAAGACTAAAACAGGGGCATGAAGAAGTCAAAATGGTACATAGCCCCCATGTGCTTCCCATGTACTCAAATATGTTACACAATACCACAAATAGTCCTGTTCGAAATGTGAAGGCCACCTGTTTCATTTCTCCTCAGCAGTAGATGGGCCTACACTTTGGGAGACTGAAGAGAGCTGCAAAGTTAAAAGGTTAAAGCTCTGCAGGCAGCCGTTCACTTGTCTCTGAACCCAAAGCCCATTGAAATAGACACCTGAGTAAATACTACTGATATCCCCTCAGTTTTTGTTAACACCTCTACTATAAGTCGAGGCTTCAAGTTGCAAGTTCGCGATCGTTGAAAGGTGCTTTTGCAGAGGTGGACCAGAACCTGAGGAGCATCGGCGGAGCCGTGGCTAAGGGTTTCTAGGGTTTAGAGTTTCGGGTCCACGTCGTCGTCTGGCTAGACTTGAGTCCAGTAGCGAAAAGCGTTTGAAGGGTTTCAGTTCGGCTCAATATAGTGTAGTCGCATCTTTGTGATGGACCACACTTGGGGTAGGGTGCAGATTAATGCGATCATGTTGGCAAATAGCGCTGGGTGCACGCAAGCTCGGAAAGATCCGGGGCATGATGGCTGCCTGATCAAAGCAATATTCCCAAGTGCCTGGCCTTCCGGCTCAGCACCTGTAACTCTATATTCTGTTATATCACAGTTCAGTATGTGATATTAGACATTCTATTTTGTTATATCGTATTTATTTGATAAGCCCTCAAGTTTCAGATGCAGGTTGAAGTCCAAAGTCTTTGGCTTGCCCCACGCACCAGGCAAGGCACCCTAGTCCTTCTCGGAGAACTGCTGCGGAGTCTAGCCTTACTCGTCTTTATTCCAGACTTGGACCCACCAATTAGCTGGCAGGTTTTGCACGTCTCAGCCGCGGCAGCCCTGAAGTGTGCCAAGTCGAAACCCTAAAACCCCCAAACCCGTGGAAGCTTGTGAACTGTGTCACGCCGACCTGCTACGATGGAACCTCGCCTGGCTAGTCCGAGTTGTGAGAGCGTAAAGCCCTGAACCCAAAACCCTCAACCCAAACCAGACCCTAAAGTACACTAGAATTTGGCATCTATGAGCCTCCATACAGTCTCCCTTCTGAAAGCACGGGATCGGATCCAGATGACCGTAGCAGAAAGTAGTTACCGAACAATCCCATTTAACCTGTAGGTATATGTGTACCTTATTGTACCTTTGTATTTCCATCTTTTTCTTTATCTACAGGTCTGTCTATATATATATATATATATTTATTTATTCAGAGCGAGCGAGAGGGAGAGAGTGAGTGAGTAACAGAGCCTAGAACGGAGCGTGGACACTCCAAGTCAACTCCGGGGAAAGGTATGGCCTCCTGTGGAAGCACTTGTGTTGCTGCCGGTGTGGAGGTGAAGGACTCACAGGCCGCAGTGTGCAGCGAGGGTCAGTGCACTGCATAAGTTTGTCAGTTTAGGGTTTAGGGTACAGACTCTCGGACTATTTCTTGCCTACTTCGCATCGAAGGAGAAAGGTGGCAGGGGTTGGGGTCCCCACCTTGTTCCCCGAATTTGGGAACTGGCAGATAGAGGCACGGCCCACCAACTTTATCCATCGTGGGTTTGATACTGATGCATAAGGTTTTGGTGGATGCCAAACGATGTATAACAACATATGATAACAATCTATGTATAATAATCCTAACAATTATCTGATCCTAGAAGAGCTTTGTATAAAGCCACTGTTCAGAGGATCCTGGCATCTTCAGCTGCTTCCTGGCGAATGCTGGCGATTCCAGAGGCCTCCTGGTGCAGCTCCGTCCGGGTGCCGAGCCTGTGAACCTTGGTGCAGATCATGTGGGAGTCTCCGAAATATGGGGTACCTTATTTTGGGGTCCTTATATTAAGCATCCTATTATTTATTTAGGGTACTATAATAGGGTCCCCTATTTTCGGAAACCCCCAGATCATGTGTGTTCAGAGGCCCTACCGCAGGCAGGCCGCCTAGAAAGCTCTTTGCGCGCCGTACTTCTCTGGCGTGGACAATGCTAGGATGCATTGAATTTCTTGGATAGACGTGCGAACGAAAAATTCCAGTGAGACTTTCAGCTAAGCTGCAATCTCGCGGGAGCCTTGCCAACCCTAAGCCCTAAACTAAGTAATAATAACATTAATAATACTACTAATAATAATAACAGTAGTAATCAGTAGTAATAATAACATCCTGTCAATCAGGATTGTCGCGTCCCATGACCACAAGCCTGACCTGCCAGCAGAGCGAGAACGCATCTCGCGCGCCGGAGGACCCGGCCGCGCAAAAGCCTTGCCTTGCGATTTTGACATGCGTGGAAGGCTTCACATGCTCTGGTATGTGTGTGTGTGTGTATGTATGCACATGCTTACATAGATAAAGAAGTAAAGAAGGATCGATATAGACAGGATCTCAAGGTTTTTATCTCCGTGTCAACAGAGTCCCTTGTGAAAAAAATATCTCCGTGTCAACGGCTGCGTGCAGTAGTCTCTTGGTTCCTTAAAGCTGGAGACACAAAAGAGAGGATTCGTAACTGGCACCTCCCGCATGAATCCGGACGTCGCGCGGGTCGATGGCAATCTCGCTGTGTCGCGTGGCTTTGGTGGCTCGGCAAAGAACAAGGGCTGCAGTTCTGTAACCGAAGCGGCTAGATTGGCTAGACTGCCCGAGAGCCTGTAGAAAAGGGTAAGAGCCAACCTGCATGGACAGAAAGGAAGTCTAAACTTTAGGCGATTTCGATTTCAAGAAGAATCCGGACAAGGAGGGCCCCCGGGGAGTTCCTGAAGGCTTTGGGCTTGTCGCGTGCCTGTTGGCCTTTAACTGTTGGCAGCCTGTCCGGCTGGGACTGTGATTCCGGGTGGAGGGTAGGGAATCATCTACTCTAGACGCTAAAACTCGTTTCAGCGCCCCGAGTAGGCTCTGCAAGAGCCTTTCTCCCATCGGAGTATGCTGACTGGATCATGCAGAGAGACCCCCTCGGGTTAGGTGCAGGTTTAGGGGATGCTTGGCAAGGCATTTAGGTGACCCTTGGCTTGGAGCACTCCTTGGATAGAAATTTGAATACCGAAGCCAGACATCCTCTGCGCAGGATGCCACGCAGCAGAAGGTCTCCTATGTACCGGAGCTCTTCTTTGCCGATCTTGGTTCTGGCCCCGGGGCTCGGAGTATGAGTACGAGGTATGACAGAATACGTAGGGTTTCAGCGGGTTTGCCGGTTTTCCCTCTACTCTAGCAGCCTCATGCCCTGAGCCTAAGCGCGCCAACCCATAGTGTGCGGATTCCATGCCAGGCCTGTAAGTTTTTATGTTCCATGAATTGGCCCGCACCTGCAAAGCCTTGAAACCGCCGCACCCAACACGCAACGAAGACATGCAAGGAGGTTTGATGCTTTCCGTTGGATCAGGCACCTTTGTAGGACTTCCTCAACGAGCAAACATTGGGCCCTCCACCGAAGCCGTTACCATATGCACACCTACGCCCGCATCTTGCGAGTTGTGTAGCACGTTTTACACTCGAACCCAAAGCCTTCATAAACCCTATAAAGACATAAAGGTAACCCCAGCCACGCGTTGACCCCGAGGTGACCTGGTAATCCTGGCTTGCGACGGCATCTTCGATGTCATGAGCTCCGAAACTGGTCCTGCCCGTGTATTAGGAATTTGGGTTTAGGGAGCAGGTATTGGGGTTTAGGCTTTGGGAATGCCCTCAACTGCCGGAAATTCTGAAATCATTGGCTGCAGTAAGCTCTGCAACCCTTGGTCTAAAACGCCAGGCTTGGCACAATAGATCCTGACCGGCTTTAGCATTCTGAACCCGGTGCAGCCTTTGCCGATTTCCAGCATATGTTCGGCATGTGCTTTTTGTATCGCATTATATTCGGCAACCGTGTTTTGTTCTGATTGTTGGCCAGAGCCGGCGCAGCAACCGGGCATCCTAGGGCAGTATGGGTTCTTTACACGGGTCATATTGTCGGCCCTATCACGGTCCTCGGGCAATGCACCAAAAATACACATGTTGACAATACTGGTAGTGCCCATGTGAGTTCCACCTGGACATACCAAATATCATAAAGAGCAGCGTGGAGCGAACCCAAACCCAAAGGTAAAACCAAAACCACAACGAAACACACCGCCAATGGTTTGGCCATTTTTGATAGAACAACGAACCCTTTGAAAGCAGCCATTAAACTCAAGGAACCCTATTATAGTACCCTTAAATGGAAGAGACACAACCACTCGAAACATACAAAACCACTGTTCATAGTGGGTTGCAAAATCGCAGGCCCCACAGCTTCCTCTTCTGTCACCCTAAACCCTAAACCCTAAACCCTAAACCGAACCCCTGAGGGAGCCTTCAGTTTACATGTCCTTCGGCCCGCGGGACTAATAGGATTCCGCTGGTTCGGGCTTCGATAGAAAGCGGTAATCTTAGGCCAGAGTTTCCAGATTGGGTTTAGGTTTAGGGTTTGGGCTGTAGAGTTCAGGGAAAGGTGTATGTGTAGCTGGCAAAGATTGTTCGGTGAATGTTTCCGCAATTTAAACCCGGAAGGTTTTTGGCTACAACCCTGATTGAAGCGAGCCTGATTGCCGATCACATGTAAAGCCCACGCAATGAAGCTCTAAGTTTGAACTTTTCTGTAATGCGAATCCTCTTGTTAAGACCCTGTGTTAGGGACCCCAGACGCCTTGGCATAACAAAGAACGAAAACCGATTCTGTAGAGCCGCTGCGCCCCCGTCTCTCTTCAAGAAGGACCTTGGAAGAGTTTTCCCTGATTTCTTTCCACTGTTTCAGACTTTTGGGTTGGGGGTCTGGTTTGTTAGAAAACTTCTTTATGACACACACGCACGCTAGAGTCACTTCAGTCTTTGAATTTGAAGGAGTCCACTACCGCAAGCACAAGGAACCCCCAGCTACTGCCTCTGATAGATTCAATTCAAGACATGAGGACAAACTCGTGGAGGAACTCTTGCAGCACCTGGCTGAGGCGACGGCAACGGGCTGTTGGACGGGGATGCTCGCTCGGTGGATTTTCATGTTCAGGGACGCGGCTCAATAATCAGCAATGTCATGCCTCAATCATTAGCCGTACATGTCCAGAATAAGCCCTGCAAGCCTATCTCGCGTGTGTGTGTGTGAGTATGTGTGTAATTATATGAATTATGTGTATGTGTGTATATATATATATACACATACATGCCCCTACAAGTATATTATGCGAGGAAGGGGCCGGGAGGAATGGCGTTTGAGGCGACTCGGGGGTCCAACTTTGTTTATGCCATCTTTCTGGTCGTTTTTTCGGCCGGTCCTTCATCAGAGGTGTTTCGCCGCTTCGTCCTGCACTGTGTTTTGTCCATTTGGGGGGGTTCGACTTTAGGGTTTGGGGTTTCGGGTCCTGTTTACACCCATCATGCAAGGGCCTGGTTGCCTGGTCTTTCCATGTTAACCGCTGATCGTGAGGGCCGGGACTTGGGTGATGCTGCTGAAGCGGTGCTGCACTCGTGCCTGCCTCTCGGACTCTCGGAAACCAGGGCATCAAAGTCAGTTGTGAAAAGCCGTGTGGTCGCTCTGCAGTGAGATAGCACATAGGAGCAGATGAGGAAGGCATTTTGAGACGTTTCACGACTAAGGCTTGTCGCTGCGATCTTGAGATTTAGGGACAGAGTGTTTGGAGTGCTGCATAGAACGAGCTTGACTTGCCGCATGCAGTTGCCAAACAGACAGCTGGAAGCACTTACTCAGAGTAGGACCGACGGCAAGTTTTAGTTGGTAGTTTCTGGCACCGAACGACTGAACAACAAATTCCGATTGCTGCCTCCAGTGCAGCAAAGGCTTCTGGGGTCCAGAGACAACATGACCTTGCCCTTGGGCTTGCACGAGTTTGGGGCCCTCAACTCAGGGTTCAGTTAGTACTCGGGAGGGTTTCGGTTTTAGCTTAAGGGTTCTTGGGTGCAACCAAACATCTGTGTACAACAGGCCTCCTCTGAGATGTACAAAGCAAAAGCTGCGAGGGCGCAAGGTTGAATCAAGCCAGGGTCGTCTTCAATGTGAAGTTCCTCGCGCCGGTGGCATGTTGCCTAATCTTATGCCAAAGCCTTATAAATAGCGATGGTAAGTTCTACACGCACCCTGAAACGACCCATCCTCGTACCGGGTTGTCTCCGAGCAAGCATGCAGACTCCAGGCCGGATGGGAAGGTTCAAGCCTTACCTACAGCCTGACTGACAACCCCTCTTGGAAGACTTATCCTGGTTGTAGGCGTGGTTAGATTCTGGTCATGAACACTCGCAAGGCCAGGAAGGCTCTTAGTGTTACAAGCAAGTGTTGAAGGATTCGCTTGCACCTCCCCGCCCTTCGAACTCCGTGAAAGCCGCCCGGTTGTCCGTGAGCCTTTCGTGTTAGAGAAGCCCTCTTCTGCAAGGAGCCGAACTTCACATCCCAAAGTTTCATGCAACCTGAACACTGCCCTCAGACGCCCTACTATCACAATTGACTCAAAGAACTCTTACGTAACCGTTCTAGACTAAACCTTATAAGACTTAGAGTTGATTTATAGGTGCAAGCTCGCGTACGTCAGGCACCCCATAATCCCTGGTTCACACAGACTTGGCAGTGAGAGGATGGTCTCTCAGCTCGGTCCACCCACTTCGGAAGGATATCGGCTCTCATGGCTGTGTTTTGTTATGGACGATTCGGGAAGGGTGTTTGGGGTTCGGGGTTTGGAGGTTTAGGGTGCAGAGGTTGATGAAGTGTCAGACGGCCGCGCGGCTGACAGACCTCTGAGTCCGCGAGAGAGAGAGAGAGAGAGAGAGAGAGGGTGCAGAGGTTTGGGCGAGTTTAGGGCCAGTCTAGAGTCTAGGGAGGGGTTTAGGAATTCGTTGTCCTGATTCCTGTTCTGAGCTGATGTGATTTGATTTGTATGGAGGGCTTTTCGCTCGAAACCGATCCAACCCCTGCCGCCTGGCATGACGGATGACAGGAACACTTCGACGAGTACCGGCATGTGATGATGTATGCAGATAAGCCAAAGAAGTACATTGAGAGACTGTGCGTGTCCGTACATACAGGCATAGATACATGCATGCAAACAGACATGCACACATAGATACAGACAGACCGACAGACAGACATTCAGGATTTTGAGACTCAGGGCTTATGCTCCCAACACAGTACCCTAGCCCTTTGCCTTCGTGAAACCTTTGTAGCCCTTCCTTATAAAGGTAAATGGAAACAGCAATACTTGTACGGTATCTGCCCAATTTTCGCGACCTTCTCCACGCAAATCATAGCAATGTTGAGAATCCTTGCGGCGGTAGTACGTACGATGTCTTATTATGATTCTGTTATGATGGTAACTTCGGGAGCGTGGGTGCTGACCCGGACAGTGCCAGCAAATCGTGCGAAAACACCTCGATTCCAAAACCAACTAGCCGAAGGAGCATGGGAAGATGGAGTGTCAATCTCCGGGCTCTCCAGCTTCCATGACATCAAGGACGGCTAGGCTTTAGGGTAATACGAACATTGATACTCTTGCTATGATCATACTCACGATAACAATGATAGTGATGCTCCCATGGGGTTTTAGCGTTTGGTACAGATGGTTACTACCCTCTCTACAGCCAGGCTTGGCACACAGATGCCGCCGAAACCCCAGGAACCCGTGTCTAGCACCGCCCTTAAACAGCACCTCAGTCTAGGTTCAATTTCTCAAGAAAAATGCAACTTGAAGGGCCCCCAAGAATAGCCCAGTTGGCACAGACAGTCGGCTTACCGGATTGGCGTTTGGGTGCAGACATCTGCAAACCTAAACCCATCTAGCCTCGCCGCAAAATTCTCTAAACAGGGAAAACTCCAAAAGCCGTTAAGCCCCTTTAGAAAAGCTCCGGACAGCTCTTTACCCTACAGCACCCTTATTGAACTTAAACCCTGGTAAACTTTCCTCAAAGCACTTTAAACTCGACAGAAACCGTTTTTTGATGTCTTCACTATGAAACGGACCAAGTCCTCCAGCAAATCCTCTCGACTCCTCTAACACGGGCCAATATCTCTAGCAATCCTAACAAGCTCCCTTGAAGATGACCCACTTCTTCACATAAGCACCATGAACTCCGTTAAACAAGGTGAGATATGCAGAAAAGTAAACTCCTGAACTAAACAGGACCAAAGCCCCAACAAACCCAATAAACTCCTTGAAACAGGGTCCACTCCTGCAAAAGACAGAGCTCTATACTATAGGGGCCTAAATAATTGCCGATAGTATATCGCTTGTTCCTTATGATAATTATAGTATAATATACCCCAAAACCCTATTCTAATGATTAAGGCCTCTCACAGTAAAAGAGGACAGAGATCTTCAGAAGCTCCACTTCGACTTTCTGGAGCACTGTGCCCAGCTGGGACCGCTGCCTGCGCCGGAGCGGGCGCTTTACGAGGAGGAGGGGGCTTTTGTAGTGGTTCAGAAGGGTGCCAGGATCCTAACCCCAAAATTCTTAAACCCTCAGTCCCGAAACCCTTCACCCTAACTTCCTGAACATAAGGGCCCACAAAGAAACTAAGCCCATTCCTTCGCAAAGCCACACCAAGTGGAGGTGCGAGAGCGGATGAGGGCCGAGAGCGATGTTCAGTCGAGACTGGAAGCCCTTGTAGAGGCCGGGAATTTGTGGCTTTTTGGATTGTGTTTAGGAAGATTTCGGATCGATTTTCGGTTGGGCAGCCAGGTTTATGTGTTTTGATGCCAGCCGGTTTTCCAGAGAAGTTACGATTCAAAGTCTTCATATGGCATATGGCAGGCAAGAAGGATCAGAGTGTCGTCCTTCGGGCCGGTTGGCCGATACAACTACTGCAGACCCGTCGTGACACAAGTTGTTTTACAGTGCGGCAGCAATGGCACGGTATGGGTGTACCATCGGATTGCTTACCTAGTCACTTGCCGAAGAGACATCGATCGCAGGCAGGCCCCTGGACTTGAGCAATAGTTACGGCTAGTCTGATCTCAGAATGGCTGTGACTCCTATAGTTGTTGCGTCGATTTTTCCGCTGGCCTATCAAAAAGTTATCCATCAACTGTCGTGATAGTTGAAGTGCTGCCAGGCAGAGCACTCTTTCAACCTTGTCCGATTGTTTCGGGCATGAGTATTGGGAATTTGCTTGTGGCCCAGGGCAGGGACTTCGGGGCTCAAGGGTTAGGGTTAGGGTCATGAAAACCCTTACCAAAACATGATAAGACATGCATAAGCACACATAGCCTGCACAATCCCGACACTTGCAAGAAGCCCACACATCATGGACGTAGTGGTGTTCTTCAAGAGTTCTTCCATGAAGTACACCTCTCTAGACCCTTTCTAGCCTACAACTTCTTCGTAATTGTCAATGCCTCAATCGCTTCAATCCCTTCCAGTTACAGGCCCCTCATTCCTCTGCATAGTAGTCATGCAATTACAGTTGGTACCAAAGAGAATGCACTCATTCCAGCATTACGCCTCTACTGTTGCTGCTACGATATGCAAGACAGCAGCGATGATGACTTCATTTGGGGGTTGAATGCACGTCATAGTCGCCATAATCAGCAGCAGTAGCAATAGAAGAAATCTGCATGCAGAAATTCACGTCCGCGACGCCAAGGAGCTGCAGCCAGGGGAGACACCCGCAGGCGCACTGCGGAGACTTCGGCCCAAGAAGCGCAAGGCTTGGTGAGATTGAGCTCAGGAACACATATGTATACATTTGTTTGCTATGTGTATATATATACACACATACAAGTACAAGTTGTAATTCTACTCTGTTTGTTTTTGTATATGTGTATGTATGCATGCATGCATGCATGCATGCATGCATGCATGCATGCATGCATGCATGCATGCATGTATGTATGTATGTATGTATGTATGTGTGTAATGTATGTAATGTATGTAATGTATGTAATGT